ATGAATTAATTGATCTCATTGAATTGAATGTTTGATTTAGAATGAATGAAGAAGATTTGAGAGGGAGGAGGCTAAGGAAGAAGATGAGGACCAACGCATCTGCTAGGTATCAAACCCAACGGATTCACTAGGTTCAGGAACTCAATAGAACCACTGGGTTCTATTGAACTCAGCAGAACCGCTAGGTTCTATTGAACTCAGCAGAACCGTTGGGTTTTATTGAACTCAGCAGATTTACTGGGTTGTTTCAAACCCAACAGCTTTGTTTCTTTTCTTCTTTTTTTTTCTTTTTTTTTTTTTGGTAAGATTGAACCCAACAAGCCTTGGGTGAGGCAATTTTGTTTAATGATGATGATGATGAATTAATTGATCTCATTGAATTGAATGTTTATTTAAAATGAATGAAGAAGATTTGAAAGGGAGGATGCCAAGGAAGAAGATGAGGACTAGCACATTTGCTGGATATCGAATCCAACAGATTCACTGGGTTCGAGAACCCAGCAGCTTTTTTTCTTTTTTCTTTTTTTGGTAAGATCAAACCCAGCAAGCTCAAATGAGGCAATTTTGTTTGATGATGATGATGAATTAATTGATCTCATTGAATTGAATGTTTGATTTAAATGAATGAAGAAGATTTGAGAGGGAGGATGCTAAGGAAGAAGATGAGGGTAAAATTGTAAATTTGATGGATTGAGTAATTATATTTGTTTGATTAGGTGGCCAAGTTTTAGTCACGTCATTTATTTATCCTTGTTGTCAATTTTATGTATTAAATATTTGGAGATGTCATTTTCATTCCATCAGTTAACAGGTCACCTCAACAAAAATTTAATTCGATGTCAAAATGGTAAACAATAGGGGGATCAAATTAGGAATTTTTTTAGTTATGGAACTAAATCGGGGGTCCATACAATAGTTGAGGGACAAAAATGGGGGTTTAACCAAAAATTAATTGGTCTGGTTTTCAGTCGCTAGGTTTAGAAACCAATAACTCAATAACTAGGCCGAGCATAACCAAAAAAAGCTGGCTAAAACTCTTTTTTTAGAAAAAAAAAATTATTGGTTTTCAAATTATTTTAGGCCTTGTCCTCAATTCTCACCAAATTATTTCTTTGTTTGGGCAACTTTTGCTTTTTAAATGATTGAAATAAATAAAATAAAAATTACAAATTTAAAAAATATTAAAAAATTTAAGGATAATTTTTTTAATT